TATATATATATATATATATATATATATATATATGTATCTCATCTCATGAAGTTTGAATAATTCCATAAAATCTTTATTGCTTTTCAAGCATCCAGCCATCCAATCAGCCTGAACGAATAAATGATTTAACGTCTTAATCAGTAAACAAGTAAATATCAATACTAGCCTAGAGCGATGTCTTTGTATCGCATCATTGAAACATCAGCACAATATAAACGTTTCAAATTCATTAAAAAAAAGAACGCACAAATGAATAGATAGATAAGTAAACGTATAACAATGCGATCTACAATTGTTGTTATTGCTATTGATGATACTTTTAAACCAATATTTTACGTCGTTATCATGAAAATCATAATCACAATCATAATTATTACAATTATATTTTGATTTGTGTACTTAAATATTTCTATTGTTTTGTATCTTTTTCAGTTAAAAAGGCATTTTTATAAAGCATTCAAAGCAGTGACTAATAGTCGAATGTCAACATGCTATATATATGAAAAGTTAATGGGCGATAACGAGCTAATGAATGTAAATAAATAAAATTTTGTCGTTATATATCATCAAATCAAGTATCACATAAACAAATGATACTCATGATTCATCGGTATGCAAACAGTACATATATTTGTCATTAAAGAAACGTTTACGGTATGTTTATTTGATTGGGATTTTTCGTGCAAGTAATCTCATACTTGAGACCGTCCGCATATCATTCCTACTCATCTAGTCTCATCTGCAGTTTATATCACCGTGGACTCTAAACTGCTTCGCTTAGAACTCATCCAAATCTGGTCATTGTTTAACCTGAAGGGTTGGAATTGCTGATTTTTGGAATATGTTTCTTGGAAAAGGTTGTTTGACACTGATCAGATAGCTTTGATGGGCAGTGGTGCAACGCGACGCTGAGAAGTAGCCTAAACTCACGGAAGTGACATTTAATATGACAACTGAACGTAGCTATTGAATGGCACAATTATATAAAATAATCAGCAGTTATCAGTGAATAGTAGATTGATTGATTAAATAAGCAGTTAAATTTTGATATGGATGAGTGATTGCAGTTATCAATACATGAGCAATTAACAGAATGGATCACTTTTATATTGTGATTGTGATTCAATGACAGTTATAGTTTTATTTATACATTTTTCAAGGTTTGTCATCAGTGCTATAGTGTAATCAGTGAACTGCTAATAAAAGTGACTCAGCACATACTTTTTTATCATATCTTATCACTATGTGATGAGAGCGAGTGTGTTTGCTGAGGAGAACACTAAATACAATAATCACTTTTAAGCAGACTTTTTATGCAATATTATTGGTATGTTTATTGTTACATCCTGTTTTACTCTTTTCGTTCTAGTTTAAGAATACTAGGTTGAACTGTTACTCTTTTTTTTTTATTAAACACCTTTTAGGCTGTGCGCTTGGAGGATGATGGAAATTTTCACAGGAGAGCATTGATTGCGCTGCGTTTTCGATCGTTCAGTTCAGTCAGTTCCATCTTTATCACTGAATTATTTTTTGGGTGAGGAATTTAATAATTTGAAGACAAAAAGTGCAAGGAATTTTTCTGAATGTTCATTCGAAAGAATTCTTGCATAGAATGCAAGCAGCAGCATGACTGGACTCTTTCCGTTCTCGATAAATTTCTTCGTTCCAAATTATTTTTTCTTTCTCTGTGTAAAATTTGTTCTGACACATCACAGTTCAAAATTTTAAACGGAAACAGAATGAGTAATACTTGGGAAACTATTTGAATAACCGTATAAAATGTTTAACCATATGAAGTAGTGGAGGAGTATAAGAATATGTTGATTCTGAAAAGGTGTCGGATATGATAACGTGGCAACATTCAATGTGTAACGTGACTGTGAAAAATTTCGCAGTTTGTGAAAACTTTTCGACATTCAATTTTGGAATAGTCAATTGAATTTGAAGATGTTTTCAGTTCTAAGTGGCGTCCAAAGAGAACCACCGTGATAATTTTTGTTGAAGATGGAAGCGGTCGTCCAGATGATGTGTTTTTCAGCTTTTCATTCCTGATGTGTACATAACAAAACATCGATTGAACGATTAATGGTGGAATTAGCGATGTGAGGTTTGTAGCTGCTGGTATTTTCGGCTTGTTGACAACAACATAATATGTTAATAAAAACCTTATACTCTGGCTTTATTGTTGATGTTAGATTGCAATTAATATCTTACAGCTATTAGATGATAAGATGATAAATGTGTTTTATCAGTTGTTCATCTATGAATACAAACGCGTATGTATATTTGATCAGTACAAGAATATATCACTCAACGAATCGTTGAATGCAATTTTGAAGATTCATCTATTGAGTCATTAGTGTCCATTGAACACGTCAGGTCTGAGTGTTAAGAGCAATTCTTTAGTCGAAAGGATCAGTGACACTTATTTATCAGTTATATAGTAAGTACAATAGCGTGATTGCTTCGCTTATATTCACGTTGTGATGATGCACAAGTGACGATGCACATCAATGGATTAAGTAAGCTGTTGAGAATAACTGAAGTGAAGTGTAAATTTGGATTGCAAATCGCATGCGATTGTTTCAATAAAAACATAATTGATAATCAAAAGTGATGCTTGTGAATAATATCGATTGTTGATTTGATTAGTTAATTCAACTGAACAAAATGCTTTCTGAATGGTCAGTCGATGTTCATTTGCATAGTCATTGAGGAAACTGATGTGAAGAGAACGAAACGAATGAAGTGGAATGAAATGTTACGATGAAACAATGCCTTCAAACAATGAATAAGTTAGTGTAAGTTCTATAGTATATGGACATATGTATGTGTCTAGCTAACATGAGGTGGATGGCTGCTGCTGTTGCTGCTGCTGCTTCATGTATCGTTGTAAGTAGAATTAGTGCAGCGATCTTAAGCTGCTTACTTGCTTAGGCTGGCTATTATTCATCGTCAAAACTTGCCTTAACTCTACTGTTTATA